CTGGAGTGGCTAGAAGAACAGAAGATACTTCTTGAAAGAAAGACCTACAGGAAAAATATATAACAACATAGGCAGACCAACTGTTACTACAAGAACAAGCAACTTGCTTGCCCAGGAAACATCAAGGCAAGTCGTCGGGTCCCCTCAGTGCAAACCCTTTTCCAAGACTAAGACTCAATGGGAATACACGCTCTGATTGGTGACCACACTCATCACCGATAAGGAGAAGTGAGGGAAAAACAGCAATGAAGTGGCGAGCTATGTCCTACAATGTTCAATAGACTTTTGTGAACCCAGATAAGACCTGGCTGGCCAGCAGTGTTGCAAGACTTGGGGAGTCTTGAGTCCAGAGTCAGTGTCATAGCCACAGAGGACTAGAGTGGAGAGTGAAGTGTCCAGCTGATAAGAAGAGAGGGCATATGCATAAGAACACCCATACTTGCAGATAATACCCACTTGACCTAGCTTCAATGACTGGATGATCAGAGCTCAACCAGAAGTAAAAAGATAAGGAAGAAAAAAGAAGTATTCTCATACAATTTGATGAACTTGACCTACACCTATGGAAGCAGTAGCTGAAAAGAGGGAATAAATCCTTACATTAAGAATCATTCCCACACCCTCCACACACAGAGTAGACATGGATGGGCAACTTGGGCATTGGCTACCCAAAATGGGGGGCGGGGGGCTACAAAGGCAAGAAGTGACTGGCTTACAAGCTTTCAAGAGGGAACCTAGATACAGAGGGCCTGGAAGACGGTAGAATCTCCAGTGAATAGTATCCAATCTGTGTGGGCGGGGCTAATGCAATGAAATGTAGATGGGTCTCTTGTGATACAATAGTGAATAATTCTTATCAGGACTGATTGTGAAGGTTGGAAATGTAAAGGTAGATGTTTTATAGCAAGGCGGGGAGTGAATAACTTTTCAGTCTGGGAGCGGAGGTCCCTAGGATCATCAAGTGAGAAAAGCGGAGAGCAGGACCCTATCCAGAGAAGCAGTGATGTCTGAAATGGAGGCAGAGATGATGACATGGAGCAATGGAGCAGCTGGAGACTTTAGATCCAGAGAGGGAGAGCGACTGTGTGCTGAAGACCTGGGGGGGATGGGGGGGGGGCAGGCTTGCAGGGTAGACCCTTTGGTTGGTTGATGATGCATGGAGGGGATTGTAAACCATGGCAATGAGACAATATACGATAGAATGAATGTAATAATATTCTCCCATGTAAACTATCACATAACTCACAATAAAACATTTAAGAAAAAATAACTATGCCCTGAATTATTCTTTAAAGCAAACAACAGTTTAGTTTAACATTAGCAAAGACTTTCTGCCTTGAGCACTGTGATCTTTTAAGAACTATACTGGCAACAGGAACTCAAATGATTACACAGGAAACTTAGGAGGGCAGTGAGTATATGTTAATAGAGAAGGAACAAATTGGAAAAGAAATATGAGAATGGTTGCACAACTTAAAAAACACAGTGTTACTGAACTGTATATGCAGAACATCTGGAATGGTGCATGTTCTGCTGTGTACATTCTCAACAACAAAAATTCTTCCTAAAATGTTAATGACAGATATGTTCCTGAAAGACGATTTTTAAACCAACTACAACAAATGGAATAACTAACACACACACAAAAAGATTTTCCTGGGTACTTACCATCACCTTTCGCAAAGTGTATCTTTTGCATCTAATGTCATCCATTAGCATTTCATAAGGTGTGAGCTGGTATTCAATGGGCAAAGGATTGTACTGTCGCTCTTGGACCTTCTTAAGTTTTACACCATTTCGCAAATCCCTCATCACTTGTACCCAGAATCGAGCCTGAAAGAACCAAGGGTGAAAAGATATTAATGAATAAATTTGCTGGGTTTCTCTACATAACCATAGTCATAAAGAATAACTAAAGAACTTGTTATATAAAACAAGTAAACCAAACAAAATTTGAAAAATTAGATTTTAGGATAACAAAAGGTAGCTAGAAAGGCTGTGAGACTCTTCAATTCTATTAACTGAAGGAACCAAATTTAGATCTTATCTCTGCCATTGTGAAAGATTTCATTAACTGCCCCAGTTTTCACCCCTGTGTGTCCACTCTATGATATGTGGTTTTACTCAATAAAAAGGAGAAGAATATTTCTGACACCTGGAATTTAGGATTTCCTTGGCCACTAGTACGGCACAACTGAAGCATCTAAAGCAAATTACAAAAGGGCTTGTTCTTTTGGACCTCTGTTACTACCACAAGGAGAACATGCCTGGATCATCCTGCCTTTCACATCATAGGACAAGAAACATAGAGCTACACAACTTATCCAAAGATTCATGAGTGAAATAAATGGTTATTGTTGTATGCCATTATATATTAGTTATTGTTAGTGACGCAGAATTTCTGTGGCCAGAATTAACTGATACCATCATGCACTACTTATTTGACATCCATTAATTTGCTTATCATTTGCATAAAAGAAAATGATACTATATAACTTGTTAAGAAATCAAAATTGATATATACTGCTCTGTACATAGAAAAAGCTCAAACTGTACCAATTTTTATGTCATTACTTATCTTTGAAAGAAATATTTAATCTGTTTTCCTAATCTATAAAGAACAGCAATTTGCCTAATTTACCTTCAAGAGTT